ACGTACCAAGGCTAAAACTGCGCCAGCACCAAAACCATCTCGAATAGGACATCTGTTCATGCATGAAAACGGCGATTTGAACGCGGTTTCTGTAATGTTGCGAAGCTGCGCCGCGCCGATCTGGTAAGCGGATCTTCTCATATTGGATGGTTTGGGGCCTTTGAACAGGTGTTCATACACTAGAGGAAGGAGCAAAAACCTCCTAGGATTAGCGCCTGAAATGTTTTCACTCGTTTAATAAACCTAGCGATATTTTTTGTATACTTTGTCGTTGAGTAAAAGAATATTTTTTGATGGTCCTTCTCGCTCCTCCTCCAGGGTAATTTCCTTTTTGTCTCTGTAAAAAAAATGTTCAAAGTCTTCGCATGGGAAGACGATAGATATTGATGACATTGATTAACATTTGATCTGTCGATCCTGTCAAAACCAAAGAACTGAGAAGGCGGGACCTCAAGTTGACTTGTCCCCATTCTTGTCCCGGTCTTACAGCCTAAACAAAAACATAAGACGAGGGCCCCTTTTCTTAGAGCTCTGGTACGGTGTTTTGGTACCGTGTTCATTTATTTAGGGTTTTTTTTAAATCAGGATTGTCTATATACAACATAAAAATAAAAAAAGACGAAACTGTACGCAGGGAAAATTTTGTGTATCCACTGTTTACCTTACCCCCACCTTCCCCGCTAAAGTATTGATCCTCCACAAGAGAAGTCGGATAATGTTGCATTTTCATTTTTTTGTTTCATTTCCACCATCGTGTATACAGCTATTTCGAGAAAGGTTGTCGGAAAAAATGTGCACGCGACAATCTCGAAAGGTAATATGGGGTATGACCAACACACTGTTCCTGACGACTGCAGCTGTCGAACCTACTTTTGTTGCTTTCCTTTAGCACTCACAGACGTAATTATATCCATGGCCTCCCGTGCCATTCTTTCAAATTTCTTTGAAGAACGGTGAACTCAAAACCACCCACAATACCTTTCGGGATTGTCGCGTGCACTTTCAGCGAAATAGCTGTATTAGAAACTAGCAATTAGCCTGTTCTCCAGCAACATCGTTTCCAGGGTCCTCTCTACTCGGCCCCCGGTTGGCTCTCCAGTTGGTTTCATTCGCTAAATTGCGTCCGGTAATCCCCCAGTGTCCTAACTAATGTCCTAAGCTGGCTTCACGCTAATTTTCTAATATTTAATCTTGAAAAAACGAAGATCGTACTTGTGTGCACCCATCAGAGGATCGCGGAGGCTGACGATCTAGTTATAGAAATTAGTAACACGCGTTTAGAAATAGTAAACAAGTTTAAACATCCTGGGGTGCTCCTAGTCAACACCCTATCTTGGTTCTTGGAAGGACCACATAGAATATATCGGTAATAAGATCTCGTCTAGATTAGGTATTCTGCGTCGAGCGCGTTAGGTTCTTCCCAAGCCAACTTGTCAGACGCTTTACAATACTATAGTCTTACCATTGTTCGGATACCGTTCGCCTGTCTGGGACAGTTGTGGGGTTGGGAGCAAGGCTTATCTAGATAAGCTAAATAGACGCGCCGCATGTATTATTGAAGGTCGATCTATCGGGGCTGAGGAGTAAAAATCAACACTTGGCTGGCCCAGCCTACAAGCACGCAGAAATCATCTCAAATACGTCTTGGTCCTTAAGTGTCTTCACGGAATGGCGCCGTCATACTTACAGAGTTTAGGCACGCGCACCTTATCCGCCCTTGTGGCTATAACACCAGAAGCCGTGATTTGCTGCGCCCTCCTTTCGCAAAAACTACTAAATACCAAGGTAGCTTCAGAATAAACTGTGCTCGGACCCACAACACCCTGCCGAGAATCATTAGATAAGTAGAGACGCTCAGCGAATTTAAAATCAAGCTTAAACGCCATTTTAAACAGTAACGCCCGCGGTACATGTTGCCTTTGTAACTTAATTAATTTTCTAGTTTTAATGTCTGAATGTTTTTGTGTTGTGTCAGGGCTCCATTTAAACTAGCTCTGCTATAAAATTGGATGCCTCTGGATAAATATTGAGTGAAAAAGAAAATTTAGAAAATGCTCTTTGGTTGTGTAAATTACCTATGACCGCCGTTTCAGATTAAACGGCGAAGACAGGGTACTTGTTAACCAACTTTCCTGGCGGACAAGAATTTTTTTCAAGCATAAGAACATTAAAAGGAAAAAAAGAGGCAGGGGAATGAAACAGATATCACTCATTCGCGGTCAACACGCGTGAACGTGAACCTTTACGCGCGAGAGATTCCCGAGAATTTCGTTTCGGGTCAACGGGGATAAAACTGTGTAACCAGGAAGTCATAAAAAGAGTGAAAAAAGCGTCACGAAGCTATAAGAAATCGAAAAAGAAGTGAGGAAACAGTGAAGAGAATCAGTGTAAAAAAAAAAAACATAAATAAAAGAAAAACGAAAGAAAGTAAATAAAATATACTAATGACAAAAATGATAAATAGGTTATTGTCTTTGCACCTGCAAAAACAGCGATTTCCATACGATCGAAAACCGCCGGCTCAACTCTGTTTACCAAAACAAGCAGTCGACCTTGAACTTTGAATAACAAAGGAATTCAATCTCTATAGATATCTGTAGAACAGGCGCGAAGCAATCACTCAAAAAAGAAATAGAGCGGAATTCGAAGAAGGGGTCGTTAAGAAAAATGGCTGCGGTCAATCTATTGTAAATACACTCATAAAGACGTGACTTTCTACTTAACACACGTTAACAGCGGGCGGTACGGGCCATAATTTTGCCCTCATTAGCAAACTTGATCGATATTTTATTGGCTAATCAGTGATGTTCATATCATTTCGGTTATTTTTAAAAGTTGCAATAAAAAAAATAAAAAAAAAAAACTAAGTCAAGCTTGCAAAAGTCGTTACCGTTCCAAATAATAAACCAGTTTCAAAGGTTTCTGAACGGAAGTGCACGTCTTTATAAAATTGGCAATGTGAATCGAGGATAACTTGCTTTATAACGCCGGTACCATTTGAGTTTTAAACAACCAAGTGGCTAGTGTGTCGTGAAAGCTCAAGAGAACAAGATTCATTGTCAACTAATGATAACAGTGAGTTGCAAGCCAAGGTACCTTTCAAGTCATTGTAAGGTTTGTCTCTCAGTGAAGAAAGAGTCCCACACAATACCCGTCGAAATAAAAGAAAGATTAAGAGGGCAGGAATCAATATAATAACAGAGGAAGTTTCATGTAAATGATTTTGTATTTCAAGTGGAATTTTCCGGTTAGCAAATATCAATCCGGATTTAATGAAATCCGAAAAATTGTCTTCTGGTTTCGTCGATATAAGAAAATAACGAATCTTCATTTCCGGAGATGCGTCTATTAGTCTGACTGCAAAGTCTCTTCGTGGGTGTTGCGCGTAGCACGTGTAAGATGCCTCCAGTCGGCTGAAAGGGCACCAAAGCACGGCCTTTGGTCTTGCAGGTATCCGTGCCTGACGGCTATGGCATTCTGATGAGCCCAAAGGAGGGTAAAATTAACTGCAAAAACCGTGGACGAAGATCCTGCTAGTTGTAAACGTTGGATCTCTAGAAAAGATATCTAATCAGCCAAAATATAAAGAACCAAAAACGAGAAGTCCAAAGACTACTGCAAAGCTGATTTAGAACAACGTGTATTGTTTTTTTCATAACAATATTTCAGCTGGCCAAATGATGGTAGCCTTTGTACAGCCCCCTCCCCTCAGTAAAAATCGGACGAGAAGGGGCCCCTTCTCCGATTTTCACTGAGGGGAGGGGGGTCTGTACACAGGCTAAAATGAGGGAAAATCAGCTGTTTGTTCATAGCTGTCACTGACGCAGGTGGTGGGGGAGGACAAGGCTGTAGGCATGCGTAAGACACTGTCTGATATTTCATGCTTCTTATATGCTCCAGTCGAATGCCGGTTGGTACGTACTAAGGCTAAAACTGCGTCAGCACCAAAACCATATCGAATATATATATAGGACATCTGCTCACGCATGAAAACGGCGATTTCGACGCGGTTTCTGTAATGGTGCGAAGCTGCGCGGCGCCGTGCCGATCTGGTAAGCGGATCTTCTCATATCGGATGGTTCTGGGCCTTTGAACAGGTGTTCATACACTAGAGGAAGTAGCAAAACCTCCTAGAGTTAGTGCCTGAAATGCTATTTTTCCTGTACAAAAAAAGGCAACCCTTGTTCAATTTTCTGTTCCCTGGATAACAGGGACCAGGAGAAAATGATAAGCGGGGTCTAACTAACTGAATGTATAGCATGCAGCTACCATTGTTGGGGCGCGTGCAGATCTCTGTACGGCTTTCGCAACGTACAATTATCATCTCACTCTGGAATACCTGCATGTCGCAATTTGAAATAAACCGTGTCGCGCTTTGTATTAAAAAGTGTCTTGTTCGATTTCTCGCCCGTTTTATACGATATACAGTGAGTCCACCCCAACTTTACGGACACCCGCTTAACACGGACACCTCATTAGAACGGGCATTTTGCTTTTTTAATAAGTCACCTGCGCTTTTAGCACTCACTAGCACTGAGTCCGTCCAGTTGCAAGCGAGTTTTGGCCGATCCAAGAGCACGACGTTTTTACTCGTTTATAAACCTAGCGATATTTTTTGGTATACTTTGTCGTTGAGTAAAAGGATTTTATTGATGGTCCTTCTCGCTCCTCCTCCAGAGTAGTTTTCTTTTTGTCCCTGTAAACATTAAACCGCCTTTCTTGGCAAGCGCTATTTTGCAAACGCTATATGAAAATGTTCAAACTCTTCGCATGGGAAGACGATAGATATTAGGGCCATTTATACGAGGAAAAAAAAGACGCGTCTTACATAAGACGAGTCTTAAATAAGACGCGAACTTTCCGTATAAACGGCACATTTCGTCTAAAATAAGACGCGGCTTAGCTAAGACGCGTCTTATTAGATAAGACATGCTCGTATAAATGGTACAGTTCGGGTCTTATTTAAGACGCGTCTTATTTTTCCTCGTATAAATGGCCCTATTGATGACATTGATTAACATTTGATTATCGCTTAAGTTTCTGTCAATCCTGTCAAAACCAAAGAACTGAGAAGGCGGGACCTCAATTTGACTTGTCCCCATTCTTATCCCGGCCTTACAGCCAAAACAAAAAAAGCAAACAATAGTACCCTTGAAAGTAGAGTACCCTGTGTGCAGTGGTTTCTCCTGCGTCCGGCCTGGAAAAACCACCGTTCGCAGGATCAAACTCAACCTACTTTTGAAATGACTCCTGGGTTCAAACCTTTCACAGTCTTACCACTGTTCGATTACTATTCGCCAGTCTGGGACAGTTGTGGCGTTGGAACCAAGGCTTATCTAGATAAGCTAAATAGACGCGCCACATGTTGAATGTCGGTCCATCGCGGCTGAGGAGTTAAAAATGACTTGGCTGGCCCAGCCTAGTACAAGCACGCAGAAATTATCTCAAATGCGTCTTGGTCCGCAAGTGTCTTCATGGAATAGCGCCTTCGTACTTACTTTCAGAGTTTAGGCACCCGCACCTTTTCCATGGCTACAACACCAGAAGCCGTGATTTGCTGCGCCTTCCCTTCGCAAAAACTACTAAATACCAAGGCAGCTTCAGAATAAACGGTGCTCGGACCTACAAAACCCTACCGAGAATCATTAGACAAGTAGATACGCTCAGCGAATTTAAAATCAAGCTTAAGCGCCATTTTAAACAGTAACGCCTGCGGTACATGTTGCCTTTGTAACTTAATTTTCTAGTTCTAAGGTTTCAATGTCTTTGTTTTTGTGTTGTGTCAGGGCTCCCTTTAAACCAGCTCTGCTAAATTGGATGCCCCTGGATAAATATTGTGAAAAAAAAAAAAAATAGAAAAAATGCTCTTTGGTTGTGTAAATTACCTATGACCGCCGTTTCAGATTAAACGGCGAAAACAGAGAATTTGTTAACTAAGTTTTCTAGCGGACAAGAATTTTTTTCAAGCATGAGAAAATTAAAAGGAAAAAAAGAGGCAAGGGAATGAAACAGATATCACCTATTCGCGGTCAACACGCGTGAACGTGAGCCTTTACGCGCGAGAGATTCCGAAAATTTCGTTTCGGGTCAACGGGGATAAAACTGTGTAACCAGGAAGTCATAAAAAGAGTGAAAAAAGCCTCACGAAGCTATAAGAAATCGAAAAAGAAGCGAGGAAACAATGAAGAGAATCAGTGTAAAAAAAATACATAAATAAAAGAAAAACGAAAGAAAGTAAATAAAATATACTAATGACAAAAATGATAGATAGGTTATTGTCTTTGCACCTGCAAAAACAGCGATTTCCATACGATCGAAAACCGCCGGCTCATCTCTGTTTACCAAAACAAGCAGTCGACCTTGAACTTTGAATAACAAAGGCATTCAATCTCTATAGATATCTGTAGAACAGGCGCGAAGCAATCACTCAAAAAAGAAATAGAGCGGAATTCGAGAAAAGGGTCGTTAAGAAAAATGGCTGCGGTCAATCTATTGTAAATGCACTCAGTCAAGACGTGACTTTCTACTTAACACACGTTAACAGCGGGCGGTACGGGCCATAATTTTGCCCTCATTAGCAAACTTAATCGATATTTTATTGGCTAATCAGTGATGTTCATATCATTTCGGTTATTTTTAAAAGTTGCGATAAAAAAAAAAAAAAAAAAAAAAAAAAAAAAAAAAA